ATTTACATTCCCAACTCGCATATATACCATTAAAAGCTAGAGCTGGATAATCAAATTTTGAAAAAGCTATCGGATGAAAGCGGCTCCTTACCATGCCCCATGGAAATATCCAGCGGTTCCCCGTATCCTGAAAACGACTATGCGATCTACGGCAATCCTGAGTCTTTTTCAACTCTCTCTCTCCTCTGACTCAACTCTTTGAAGGTCCTTTTCCTCGTAGAGTTTAATGACTCAACAAAATATTCTCAAAAACGTTTTGACTAAACTTCTGAAAACTAAGAAAGCAGCCTCGAAGCCAACAAAAAAACAAATTCAACAATCAATCGTATCCAAAGTGATTAAACTCTACGACACTAAATTACAAAGCCTCTCTTCATTTTCAATGGTCGGAACATTAGGCTGCGAGTATGAGTCATACTCGAAACTTACCCGGGTTGACCAAAAATGCTTGTCCTACAATTTCCATATACGAAAAAAAGCTTATCCTACATTTTCTTACAGTTTCATGGACTCAGAAATTGCAGAAAAAAACTGTAGCGTAAGCATTTTTTCATAAATGAAAAGTGTAGGAAAAGCATTTTTTCATAAACCAAAAAATTGATTTTTTCTAAATTTTATTCGTGACCGAACACAAGTGACTAAACCCATGGTGTAATCAGCACTAGAGTTCCCAAAAGGTTGATCGTCTGTCCTTGACAATGCATTGGAAACGATCTGAATTGTAAAAATGACTTCTTCACAAATCATATACTGAAAGCATCAAACTTTTATTTTTTGGCAAAGTTTTCCAAAGATGGTTTTTTTTAAAATTGAACAATAATATCAAACAAAAAATTCAAATTTACATTCAAATTTTTTTTTGGAAAAGGTTTGTTTTAGTACAAAATTCGATTTTAGGTTGAAAAAAAAAACGAAAAAGTTTTTGGTGCAATACTTATGAAAATTGTATGATTAGCATTTTTCCATACATTTGATGTAGGCAATTGTATGATAAGCATTTTCGGTGCGGGGAAATGTAAGATAAGCACTTTCAGTTTATGGAGGTTTATGGAAGTCAACCCGGGTATGCAGAAAAGAGCAGCATTGATCAGGTGACTTCGGTATTTCTACAGTAGTATTTAAAAAAAACGCACAAAACAAACAAAATCTGAAATTTCAAATTATTTTCTCAATTGCCTTGAATTTTATCAGTATAGATATGTTTTTTTAACGAAATTCATGTCTAAAACTTTTACTTCAAAACAGGTCCTTTTACATAATTTTTCTCCCTCCAACTCTCGACATGCATTTTCTTAAGTATACGTTTGTTACACTTGTCTTCATCTTATGAAACTTGAAATATGGACAAAAGGTGAGAACAAACAAATTTTTTATCATGTCTATTTTTACTAGAAAAAAAAACTAGTTTCACTTTCATAATCCATCTTTACTAAATGAAAGTTATCAATTGAAATGATATCTCAAGCATTCAATGTGTTTGATTATTAGTTTTGCGTAACTTTCGATGAAAAGAACCCATGCCACAATGTCCCGTTGTGAGGTAAAGTTTCGAATAAAAATGAAGCATATCAAGGATTTTTTCAAATATTTCGCTCCCCTCTGGTAATTAAAAATTGAGTGAACCCCCCTGAAAAAAAATTTAACTGTTCAGCATATGTTAACTTATTCCTAGCAACAGAGAATCCAGTTCACAAAAGAAGGAATATAGTTACAGAGATGAAGTTTCGTATAACTCTGAGCATCTTTTCTTCTACTCTTTTTGTCCTTTTTGTGCAAATTTTTTCATCATAATTGCCCAAAAAACTAGACTTTATAATAAGCTGAAAATTATTGATGTAGTTTTTGCCAAGACTTCGTCTGCCAGAAAAAAAAAGATTTTTTTTTTAGTACCAATTTTGTAAAATTTTTTGAGTGCTGCATAGAAAATAGTCTTAGTATAAAACGAAGATGAAGAAAACGCTGCAAATTATGATAAAAAAGTATATTTTTGGCTTAAAAAACAGCTGGCATCAAAGTTGACAAATTTCATTCTCTAATCGGGAAAAAAAGTGAAAAAAGTTATACTGACGAGTCTTTTCATAGTGGATCCTATTTAAAACTCATATCATCTCTGGCTGCAATTAAACTTTTTTTTGATTACTTTTTTGTGTTCGTATGTTCCTGGATTCCAGAGACAAAACATTAAACGTTTTCCAAAATCTAAGTGGGTTCCATTTATAAAATTCCCGTAAAATCCGTGTAAAAACTGCCGTTGCGTTATCTTTGTCGGCAAATTTGTTGTGTCGCTGATTCAGCAACAAGCGAATACAGGTAATTTTTACTAGAATCCGCCAACTTAAGTAACCTATAACAATTGTCAGCGGAATCCGCACATGTAAGGGGAGTCCGCAAATTGTGAATGGATTCGAAATTCGTTTTTACGGAGCTTGCATATGAACTGTCAATTGAAAGCTAGAGCTGGAATTCTTAACAATGTGGAACTTAAAAGGACCTAACCATTAACAGCGGAATCCACGAAGAAATCTTAAAAAACTGGCAAACTAAATTGGTGAATGTCACCCTTTAGTATTTGGGATACAAATTTCAATAAACAATTTTTGGCATCAAATTTTTGAAAACAAAGCACCGATTAATTTCAATATTTGGAGTTTATGGGATGAGAATGATTGGAAATACAACGCACAGCATTTCACCGATTTAGGTCAGTTTTTGGGATTCCATCAACCTCAAACACTGATCTAGTTGGTGGAGAGTGATTTCAAATCAAGAAGTCAACTTTTGGGATGAGATGATAGAGCGAATTCAAATTATGAGCACAGTATTTGAGAAGAGACGAAAATAATTTAAATCAAGGGGGCAGTATTTGAAATGAGATGAAAGCACACCCAGTATACACCCTGGGTACTATTATGATAGAGTGGTCACTTGAAAAAGCAACTATGACAGACATGTCTTGCATGCGTATAGCATGAAGGAATTTGAAAAAAAACTTATGTATCAATTCTTCTTTTCAAAGGTCTCGCGAAATATATTGAGTCAGAATTTTTTTCAGATATAGAAATGTAATAAATATTTTGTTGTTATCCAGAAATATGCTTACTCCAACTTATTTTACGAATAAACAACCATGAATCACTGACCTTATTTGTCAACAACACTCAATTTTGTCGTTTTTCATTCACCTGAAAAGGGTGAGACAAAAGTTTTGAGGAGGAACAAACAAAATATTAGTTTGCAATTATGATGCGACATCTTATTGAAAGGCTAACTCATAACTATGAAACTATATTAAAGCTCTAAATGCCCTTTTCTCAAGAGACCTGGTTAATTTAAAGGGACCACTCTATCAAAGTAGTTTTCTTTTTTATAAAGAGTTCCAGTTATAACAAGAGTCATCTTCTTCTACATAATTGAAAAAAAATTGGAGAAATCGAAAACTAAATTATCGTCACTGAAAACCGTTCAGTAGAGACGGGATTCAAACCCACGCACGGAGACCATATTGGGTTAGCAGTCCAAAACACTAACATCTCAGCCATCTTGTTTTAAAAACACAATAACGCAAGCAAAACTGAACAAAAGATAATTCAATAAGAGTGTTTCAATGAACTTTCAAACTCACATACACATGCAAGCTATTTTGATTAATGAATTAGCTACCAGATAGGGTGAAATTGGACGAACGCGAAATAGGATTAATTTCAGAAAAATTTCTGAAATTGGAGAAAATAGACGGATCGGCACAAGTGTCGGTATAACTGTGATGACGGATCCCATTTTGCCAGGCTGTTCTTATCAGCTAACTCCTGGGATCTATGAGAAAAAATCTATGATTTTGTTGTCCAAACACCCCTTTTTATTAAATCTTATTTTATTTTTGGAGAGTAGCTAATAAACTCACAATTGCTTAAATTAAAAAACTTATAGCGTCAAAATTAGTCATAGTGTTTGTATGGAAAACTTCTTGGACCCAACTCCGAGAAATTTTGTTTTAGATGCTCTCTAGACGTATGTGCTACTGAATCAGCATGAAATTGAAACATTACTCTGCCTGTGTTTTTAAAAGATGGTTGTTCTGTCGAAACCTACTAATTAAGTTTCTGTTGTCTTGATAACTTGATAAAATGCAAAACAAAAGATGCATTGCCTTGAGGAGAAAATCAAAACAGGAATTGAGATCGAATTTGGGTATTTGGCAAATTTTGAGATGGAAGATAGGGGCAGGAATTGAGATCGAACACTTAGTATTTCAACTGGTAGCTCAACAACTAGTAATTAAGGTTGAACTTGGTGGTGACCACCTAGTAAATTAAACATATAATTTAAAACGCGACTTCAGTCTTACATATATGTGAACGGAATTTGCAAACAAATTGCGGTTTCCTACTATAATTTGCGGAATACTTTTAAATCTTGCGAATTATGCGTACAATTTGCGGATTCCGCAATAGCTCATTTTAACTATGCACGTCTTATTATTTATTTGTGGAAGTCACAAATTGTTGCGGATCCGGCATGTTCGTCCATTTTCGGATCAATTTCGAGTGGTGCAATGTCTTAGGTATTTTTTGAGGAATCTAAAACAGCACAGAAGCTCAAAGAAAAGTAGCAATGTTGCAAGTTCCACGACAAGTCTGATTTTGGCCTGTTGCGGAATCCGCTTACAATGCGCAGAATGCACAGTTTGGCCTCGTAAGATATGCTTCACAAACATGATTTTCAAGTGATCACTTCAAGGATGATAAACACACATTTCAAAAGAGTTCATATTTCATCATTAAAAGTTTTTTCGATGCTTCATTTTTCTCTCTTCTTTTTTCTCTTAGCCGACAGTGTCAGGTCGAAAAACGAAAATTTTTCTTACATCTAAATTTTCTTGTTATTTGAAAAAAAAGGCTGAAGTTTGTGTAATGTTGTCCAAACTTCAAAGTTTCTGTCAAAATTGATTTTAAAGGAATCGAGCGCCTGTCTTTCTTCACTATTTGCTTTCATCGGTCAGGGTTGAATTGTATTTCGAACGTTTGTTTGCTACATTTCAATATAATATTGCTCAAAGCGTATTTTCTTACGAATTATGATCTTTTTAATTGCTCTCCTCTTTTCATTTTTCGGTAAGTCTCTTTTGACTTTTTTCATTTTCTTAGGTTCTCTTTTTAGCCTAAGCTTGTCTTTAGTACGTAATAATCATCAGGTTGAAAAAGCCGTATTTTCAAACGTATTGATTTAACCGAGCAACTTTTGGTTAAAGAAAAACCTGCGAAAACTTAGCCATTCAAATTTTGAAATGCTCTATATAATTTAATATATTAATTAACAATTTTCCAACTAAACAAACACATCTAAAGTGATTGGGCTTCTCTTTGAAATGAGACGAGAGCTAGCCTTCACAAATGCTAGACTAGATTTGACAAAACATAATTTTAATGTTGAAATAACCGATAAGTTTCACTTATACTAAATGCTTTTTTTCGGTGATTCATTTGATCGGTGAAACTACACTAGTCGACAACTCGAAACAAATTAAAAAAGCGGTACGTTTTAAAACTAGTTTAGTATCTGATGAGTAGCAACTTCTTTATAAAATCTTCGAGTGTGCAAAGCAACCAGAAGAAAAAACTAGTCGAGATCAGAAAGGTGAATATTTTTGCGAGCTAAAACTGCTTAGACCATTTGTAAAAGATAATTTAGTGATACGAAATCTTTAGTGTTTGCGTCTGATCAAAAACTCCATTTTTCTCAGAGGCGGATTTAGGGGGGGTCCCACCTTTGATACTTTTTTAGAAATCAATTTTTGGCCGACCGACCCTAAACTTTTTCTAAAGGCGCCTTTGGCGCCAATATATACTAACTTTGAGGGGGAGCGCGCCAAAAAAACGCGATTTTTTTGTCAAAATTTTTCAAAAAGTGCTCAAAAACGGCTTTTTTGACTGTTTTTTCAAAAATTTGCCTGCGGCGCACAAAATTTTGCCAAAATAGGGGCAAAACAGTGCTTTGGGAGAGCTCGAAAAATCTGTTTGGTCGACCTAAAAAAAAAAAGTCGTCAAAATTTTGGAAAATGTTTTGAAAATCCGCTCCCCCCCCTCGAGAAAATCCTAGATCCGCCCCTGATTTTTCTGGTTACATTTTTGAAGCAAAATCGTTTTTTTTTTCAATCATGAAAGACGAAAACCAACCAATTCAGGTCAGGCATTTTAAAAAAGCTATAGATGTTTGGTGTTGGCTTCTGAGTAGAAACTCTTGCTCATGAAACATAGCATTAGTAGATCACAGTATGACTGTAAGTTTAAAAGAGAAATTATAAGCAATTAAGTGTCATGGGGGCGGTCTAAGCCAAAAGATCGTATTTAATCATTTAAATCGCGTAAATATTTAATAACTTTTTTTTTCGTTTACTTGACCAAAAGTCAACTGTTACATCATCCAAATTTGCGATCAAAATCTGGTACTTATTAATCATATATTTGAATTGCCGTCTTTTCATGTTATTCATTATGAAAGGTTATCCCAATGCAACATGAGTATCCTCGGGGATTGCAAATAATAGGAGAGATCAAAGGGGTCGGGGCTTGGTTGTACAATTAATAGTTGTTGTGATTGTTCTTATTTCAATTATATTATTTTAATTAACCGGTCTTAGTTGACCTTGACTATCGCAAAAGACCTCCTTCGGAGTGAGCGAGCGGCAGTGTTATTTGAAAAAAACAACAGCACACATTTTATTTGAACTCTAATATAAAGCTAGACTAGTTGGAGTGTTAGTACCTTTGGTTAAGGCACGGTCATCTGACATGAGTAGAGTACCCTCATTCTGGCAAACTCGTACTATCGATCCCCCACCCCAATGGGAAGATTGGAGGAATATGTTCCAATTGGCGTTAATAGCCAAAGGGAGGATAACGATATAGATAACTAGCTGAAAGCACTGGAATTTTTGAAACCAAAGATTTTACAACTGGAGGAAGAACCTCAAAACAAGTCGACGACGGCAAAAATGGAACGTTTAGCAAGGAACGCAGAGGAAATAAGTAGATTCAACAATTCCTAAAACGCCCGAATCAAAGTGCAAACCAAGACTTTTAATGGAATGCGAATAGAAGAAGCAGACACGAATATCCACTCTATGGTAGACCTAGCAGCACTTGGTAGTGAGCGTAAAAGAGTTTTCTCACAAAAGCTTTCGAAAGTCAAAACCCTACGGATAAATTTCGCCGATTTTTGGGATATTCTAAGCCAAGCTTTTATTAGAACACCCAATATAACATTCGAACGTCACAAGCTACTTAATAGACGCCAGAGAGTCAGAGAAAGGTTGGAACAGTTCTGGGGCTCTCTAGCATAAAGGGCAAAGAAATGCATCATAGCCAGCGGAGTGGAGGAGTGGATCCGCGATATATTTATCAACAAAATGAGATGTCGGAACTAGGTGAGAACGGAATCTCAAATCATTTTAAATTTTCCTACCCTGTAATTAATAATGCTTTAAATAACCACAAAAACTTTAACAAATGGGATCCAACTTTAGCTGTGGACCGAGGAAATTCAAGTATGAAATGAAAATTTACAAAGGGACATCTTGCAGTCTGTCCGGTGAAGAACGCGATTTTTACATCCTGTATTTTTAAAGGACAGTTAACAAAAAAAAATGTAATTCTCGAAGAAAAAACGTAACTGTTGTAAATGATCATGAAATTGTAGATACCGAAGTTGTAAATCCATCGGAACAACCTGCTGTAACTAGCCATATACATCCAGAACGTTGCGGTGCACTTAATGCATGGTCGGAAACAAGACAAAGTAATAACGGCGATTGTTCAGGATTGAATGTGACGACGATAATTGACAACGATGGAAAAGGAACAAAGAAACTACTGAGTTTTGGATCGGGAAACGAAATATTCGTACAACTAAAATTACAGGTAGACTCAGCTAGTCCAGTATGCTTTTGGAAGATGAACGTATAATTAAGTTTAAGCAATTAAGTTTGAACTTAAACTACTTGATCCACACTTGGGAACACCTTTACTGCGGCTTCACGGATGACCCGATAAAGATCGTGGGACAAGTCCTCGTACCAAAAAAATCCAAAGGATAAATGTACGACAAAACAGCTTTCTTTTTAACCGATGGGCACGAACAAAAATTGTAGGAAACGACAATCTACCACACGTCGGAATAGAAGTCGCGCAAAAATCTTTTCCATACTACAAGAACAGCAATGAAAGTAAGTCATTCATAAATCCCGTCAGATTAAACAAGAAAGAAACAGAAACTCTTTTCAAGAAATTCAATCAATTATTTAACAGAGTCGGTGAAAGAAAGAACCAAATCAAGTTTACCCGTTTTCACGATCTGCTGAACCCAATACGAACAAAAGGGCGTAGGTTTTCGCTGCACTTACTTCCGGCCGTAAGCAAAAAGCTTGACAAACTTATCTCGGAAAAACATATTAAAAAGCTAGAATTATGCGACGAAGATGAAAATATCAGCCAATAGTAATTACCTGCAGGAAAGATAAACCAATAAAGCTTGCGTTAGACTAAAAATTTTTATAAAAATAAAAATTCAAAATTAAATACCAGATGCCGAACAAACATGAACTAGTAGAGAATTTTGCATCACAACTTTCAGAAAAACCGACGGAGAATTTGGTTCTCAACTTTAGACCTCAAAAATGCTTACAATAAATTAACTTAGACGACTTCGCAAGTAAATAGTGTAATAACCGGTGCGTATCAGTTCTGAACGTGGTTTCACGGACTTGGCGATATGTCAAATGTGTTCCAAAGAGTAATGGACACAACCATCGGAGAAATTTCTTTTACTAACCTTTACCTCGAATATATAAAATTTCCTCCCAAAAAAAGTTTTAAGGATCAAAAAGCGGTCGTTGAAATTTTTCTTATTACACTAGACAATAAACATTTTGCAGTCAAATGGTTGAAATGAAAAATTTAAAACAGGAAATCGAGAGGCTAGGTTTCGAAATGGATGGGTAGGGAAAAATCGAAATCAGTAGTTATCCCACTGAGTGATAAAGTTTTAGAAATAGAATCTGACCCAATTCCTTGGAACATGAGGGAGTTGCGCTCATTTTTCGCATCAACTAACCAAATTATAAAATTCGTACCGAACCTCGCATCATTAGAAAGTCCATTGAGAACTCTATTAAATAAGAAATCGACAATTTCTCGGTCTCGACAATAAAATCGAAAGATGTTTATAACATGGCTTTCGAGAACATTAAATCAAAAATTATTAATAAAACCGAAAATAAATACTTCGTTGTGAAACTGAATACAAGAGAAAAATCTGGCGCACCACACAACGGCATTGGGGCAACGCTCGAACAACTTCACGAGAATGACTGGAGATCGGTTTTCTTCGCTAGCCGATTAGTAAAACCGCATGAAGCTAAAAACTCATTAAACGCACTCAAACTCCTCGGCGTTGTTTGAATTGTAGAACAATAAACACATTATTTATACGGTTCAGAATTTGAAATCATAACCAGCCATAAAGCCCTTTTATCAGCATTGTCTTGTAATCATAGATTTAAAACCTATCATAGCTGTTTAACAAGATGAGTCGATACATTTTTACTGTTTATAATTTCGATAAATCACCTAGTGGGCAAAGATATGGGCTTCACCGATTTGATCTCAAGAATTGCAATTGGTAAGAATTCCAGAGGCTCTCGGAAATTTTGGAGAAGAGATTGTCGTAGCAAAAATCAGTAAAACTAATTAAATTATACATCCGTCGGATATACAGATATACGAGAAGTTAGCGCCACACCTAAGTTTGATTGATCAATTTTCGATAAATTTCAATGACGTATTACAACTTAACTAAATTACCGAAAATCAGTTCTAAACCTAGATAGCTCCATATTGAACATTTGCGATTTTGATTTTCTAATCCTTTCCGAATTTCTAATTAGTGTTTCTAAATAACTTCTCCTTGATCATTCTAAAAAACTTGTTCCAAAATTACCATCTCAAAGTTTTTTTATCTACGTTTTTTATCTTTAAATTCGAAATACCTAAAATATCCCATGGAATTTAATATTGTATTTTATGTAAATGTAAATGGTGGAGTTGTAAATACTCCC